ACAACAAAAAAAAAAAAAAAAAGATGTCAGCATATTTTTGAATAATTCTTTTTTTAATAAAAAGCCCTACACTTACGTCATGCTTTAGACTATAAATTTTAACGCTATTAAACTTAAGGGGTAAATATTTTGAATAAAAACCCTAATGTGGGAAAGAGACCATAAGTTGCTGCCAACATCAAGAAAGAAAGATTGCTAAGGTTTGTCATGTCATGTCATTTTGACATTTGCTATTGATAATTTGACAAATGTAAACAATGAAATAAAATTTTCATAATTTTATGCGGATGAAGTCGCACGGGAACAGCTAGTAGATTAATATTCTCTTAATTAATTCGATACAAAAGATTTGCCTAAGAAAATGCATCGCTCAGGGCAACGAACGAAAAATTGATCTCTTATCATAGAATCTACATTTTTCGTATTTTAGTTGTCTTGTTGCTTCTAGAAACTCATAAATTTTTATGAATTGTGGCTCACTGATGTTTCGGATATTTCTCGTCATATTACGCGGCTGTTTTTATGTACGCTTTTTAATTTATTGCCACAAGTTTAACAGCCGATCTAAATTTTGATGCATAAAAGGATTTCTCAAAACCGGTTTAAACTGGTCCATTCTATTCATCATATTCCCATCAAACCAAGATTCCATATTTGATGGTTGATAAAAATTTATTGGAGGAAAGATGAAATTGTTAAACATTGGCAATATTGGATCCAATCTTGGAATGTTTGGCCAACTGTATGAAGGTGATTTGGTATATGTTGATGAAGATACGGCGATGGATCCTGGCTTCATCTGGATAGAACCAGTTGTAATACCTCTGTTATTATTAATTGGATACGTATAACTCATTGTGTGTCCATTTTTCATTATAGAAATGCCAGGAGTGGAATAAAATTTTACATTTGATGACATTTGGTCGTTGGAAGTATAACCAACTATACTAGATACTTCTATGTCGTTATTGTTTTGGATTTCTGCATACCTTTGATATCCATTACTGCCTGAAAAATATTAAAATTACATTCTGAAAATGTTCTTTTGGATACACATCGATATGTTAAAGAATATTACCTTTGCAAGTTAATGTCGTAAAAATAATTACTAAACAAGGGTATAGTGTGTTAGACATCTTGTCTAGTCTGACTTCAAATGCAAGCGGGTCACACAATCTCTCTCTTTATATTCTCATCTTAAATAACCAATTTTCGTTTATAGGTCTGTGCCACACAGATAGCATTAAGCAAGCGAGGAAAAGATTAAACTAAGTGTGTTTGGATTTATATACGCAAGTATAAAATTCGCAATTTTACATTAATATAACAGTTTGTCAAATTTTAAACCACTATCAAGTATAATATTTAATTTTTAAAATGTATGTCATCTTTGGCATAAAAATAGCTATAGCGTATTGTGTAACAACGACTTTAAATACTGTTATAATTTTTTATGTATCAAACTGTAGCGCTTCAGCTAATTAACAAGATAAGTTATAAATAAAGTAAGATCAGATCTATTAATATTTAACTTTTGTGCTTAAGTAAAAATTTTGTTTTCTAGTAGTATAATTGTATTTATAAAAAAAGGAACTCACTAGTGTTATAAGGATTACGCAACAAGAAAAAAAAAGAAAAGAAAATCAAACTGTGCAAAAAAGACTACGGACCAAGAGTCTGTAGAAGTAGATATAAAAAAAATATATTTAACCTTCTTAATATTGTCAAAAGTTAAGATGGATGGATGTTTGTTAGTTTGTCGTCTAGACGGTTATATGGATTTTTACATAATTTGGCATAGATTTAGAGCATAGTCTGACAGAACTCAGAGGCTACTTACTGTGTTTTTATTTATTCCGCGTTGACAAAGTTGCGGGCAAAAGCTTGTTAATTAATAACTGTTCTATCTTGATGAATTATTTTCAATAAAATTTTACATATTTATAGCTCTATTTTTTTTATACTCTATGTATTTATACAGAGTAGTTTTAAACGATATACGTTTTAGTAAAATGAATTTATCTAGCATTTTAGATAAGGATCTTATAATTTAGATATCGTTGTGCTAATTAAAAATGAAACCAATCAGAATATCCAAATAACGTAGCTAATTTAGAATTAACCTGAAATGCACGAAAAAGTTGTTTTTGTGGTAAAATTTGAATAGATTAGAGATTCTCTTAAATATATCGCTATATCGAAGATTCAGTAAACAATCAAATTTAATTAACTTGGTATTCATAAATACGAACTGCTAGAATAAACATAAAACTGAAAGAAATTCTGTTTTAATTATAATCCAAATATTTACTCTCAAAATCGCAAAAACAAAAAGTCAGAAATATGTCCAACGCAATTTAACATCAAGTCTCGCAGGCTTTTGTTTTTAAGCGTACATTTTTAAAAACAGCAAGCACCCAAAGCGAATTATAAACAAAACATATTGCATTTCAACCGACTTCCAAAAGGAGGTTCTCAATTCGTCTGTATGATTTTTTTTTGTAATTAATCTTTCAAACGCTCGAAGCAAAAGTAATCATTTATTCGTTGCATACCTTAGCTATGGCTTTGATACATGCGACCGCGTAAGATAAATTGCAAACAGGAAACTTTTTGATGTAACATTCATACTTCGTATCCCAAACCCAAGATTTTAAGGACATAAATATTATTCTCCAGTGATAACTTTAGAATTACAGCTTACAGTTGAACCTCCCAACCAATTTGAAGTAGTACATGATCAAAAACTTGATGTTTTTTTTTATTACATAATGTGGCAAACGAGCATAAGCTTGTATAAAAAAACTAAAATGGCGTTGGTCAGGACATATGTTGAGAGATAGAAAATAAAAATGGTCAAGATTAGAAACAGAGTGGTATCCAAGACAAGGAAAAAGGCATAGAGGAAGGCAGGTCAAGCGATGGGAAGACGATTTCAAAAAGGTAGGGGGTAAATTGTGGATAAGGGAAGCTAGAGATAAGGAAAAATGGAAGACTTTAGAGGAGGCCCATGTTCAGGGACAAGCTGTAGATAGTGGTTTAAGAGTCGCCAGTATGTAAGAAAAAATAGATGTAGGTAAAGTGTAAATTTAAAATTAGACTTACATAAAAAAAAAACAAATGTACAATCTTCAGCAATAAAGGCTTTATTATTATTATTATGTCCATATATCTTTATTTCTTACTCTCTATATAATACATTTTACAAGTTATTATTATTATTATTATTATGTGGCAAACGAGCAAGCGGCCACCTGAAACCACCAAAATGGCGAAGCGACCGCTGCCCGTAGACCGCAATTGCAGATGCGTTGCCTACCATTATAGGACGGAGGAGATGCACATAAAGAGGACATTACCCCTGCCTATGCATCTCATCCACCGTCGAATCCACTTCCCCTTCCCAACCTCTCAGTATAAGAAAAGGGTGGTAAAGAGAGAGTGACTTAAATTGGACCTCCGGCACCACAATCATCAGACGAAACACGGAATTGCTTCCATTTCACGCCTGTCTTCTGTGTGGTCGTGGTATTACACCGGGCGTGCCGGCCCATTCGTGCTAAGATGTTAGAGCGGGCACTACCACTGTTAATACCAATACTGATGTTGCTGAATGTAACGATTTTTAGGTAACTGTTTACAATAATGATATGCACTGTGGCAAGATAAGTAATTCAATAGGCTATAAAAAAATTCAATAATCTAAATACTAAAATGTCAACATAACCTAGGGTACCTATTACTATCATTAGGACTATTAAACTATTTATTTCAATGTTGAACGTTGAGTAATAAAGTTTGTAATACATAATTAAGTTTGTTAAAAATTGAAATTATCGTCATAGAAGACAGGGTTAGCAGGAGTCACAAATACCATTTCATTAGCTTAAGATTGGTAAAAGCGTTGTCGAAGATTTGTAAATAAAAATAAAGTAATTTCACAGAGGCTCTTTAATAAATTCCACAAATTATAAATGCAATCAGCGTATTTTCTAAAAAAATAAATTAATCGAAATAAATATTAAATTAAATTATTAAAATTACAGAGGTTTAATAGAAGCCAGTGTTGTATGCGTTCGCATTGGCTCCTTGGAAACCGGGTGCGTTGACACTGCTGGCGATGCTTTGCTGCACCTGATTGCCTCTCTGCTTGATGGTCTGTGCGGTGCTCGCCTGGTAGTTGCCGTAGTTCTCTGCTGCCGCAACGGCTGATTCAAAGTTATTGAATCTGTCGAGAGTTTGTGCGGAAGACACGGCGGTTCCATGGTTGCCAACATTTTGTGCTGAGGATACAGCGGATCCTTGGCCATATCCGTTAGTATTTGCGGACGCTACTGCCGACTCGTAGCCTAGGCCGTTGTAGTTTTGCGCTGAAGCAGCCGCGGTCTGGTGTTGGTTGAAACCGTTGTTGTAAACGTTGGACGTAGCGGAACCGAATCCGTTATAAGAGTTTGTTGCGGCCGCGGAGCTTGCCGATCCGTAGTTGCCGATGTTGCTGGTAATGGGGTAGATAGGTTTTTTCGACACTGTGGTGACGTGGGTTGGTTGATGAGCAACGGTGGCGTGTTGGTGGCTGACAGGGTGCTGGACCACGGTATGTTGCTGAGTCGGTTGCTTCGCCACACTGTAGTGGACGAGGGGGACGGGTTGTATTACATAATTGTTTTGATGGGATGGTTGCTGTACTACATGTTGTTGGATGGCCGGGATCTGCACTACTTGTGGTGCTTGAGCGAAAGCGTTGCTGCTGGCATAGTTGTTGTTAGCGTTGGCGAATCCGGATCCGTATGCCTGCGCGTCCCCGCTCTGGAAGGAGCTGGACTGACCGGACGCGTGCCGAATGCCACCGATGTCACTGGCGAACCCGCTGCCGAAGCTCCATGCCACGCCGGGCGACCTGCCCACACGGAATACAGCGTCTGGAAGTTCAACTGCAAGCAAAAGAATATGATCGTCAGGTGGTGTTTTATTATCATTTTATCTAAACTTTACAATAGATTTAAATGTAATTAGTTTTAAGTGCAATCCATAAACCACCCCAATACTTGGTTTCTTTATTTTTTTTATCTTACCGATTTCAACAGGCACAGCGTGACAGGCCGCGAGCGCCGCTACGAGGACGATAAACTTTGCCATAGTGTCTGTTGCAAGGACAAGCTTCACCTTCCGTTGTACCGGTAGTGGATGTCCGTGAATCATATCTCCGTGTATATATACTACAAAATGATCTCCCCACTGCCTCATCTCGACTGGGTCATAGATAATGACGAGAAGACGTTGACACCCATAACATTATCGCAAAACTTACGGTAAATTAATTTAATATCGCGATGCTCTGATACCATAAATATCTCGAATAGATCCATTAAATTATTAATTGACCACATCGTCCTTTCTCAACATATTACCCGAATGAATAGATTAATGTTTATAATACTAATCTAAAATAATATCTCAAAGTTTCAAATTCTTCGAAGTTTTTCAATTATTTCAAGATATTAATAGTGCTTTGTGATTTATGATCTTGTAGCAAAAATCTTAATGTATAAAAGGTTTTTATGCACCATACCGAATATTTTATAATAGTTATATCGTTTGATTATATGAAGTTTTTTTAAAACTTTACAATGAAATTTGAAAAAGTATTTCCTAAGTAACCAACAATCCCTCGATAGACGCATGTATGCGGAAGCCTTAAATGTTTTTAAGAACCAGTAAAAACATTTGTTAAATGGTTAAAAATAATTGTTTTTATTACCTCCAGTATTGTGTAAAAATGTGTAAAATGTTAATTCAGCAAGTAAACAATTTTACTACACTTTTAAAAAATTCAATAAAATAACCCAAATATCGAAAAATCAAGTCAGATACCGTTCGATTAATTTCTTAATAAAATTCAATGAATGATGTAATTTAGTTTTTTTGAAGGTGTCATTAGTTTGAATTTGGATAATTCAAGTTTTGATCCAGTTTTTATTTTATTGTTATTTATAGATGTTCTGTGAGTTATAAATTAACGAATGGGATAAGGTCATAGAACCGTGATACACATTTTACAAGATTTTATTGACGATATCCGCTATCTTTCATAAAAAAAATATATTAGTTTTGACAAGGCTTTCTCGTATTTTATCATTAGAAACATCAAAATAAGAATAAGATACGAAAAATTTCAAATATGCAATTAACAAAATTTATTGATCATTTAGGTGATTTGCATACGATATAACAATTGACAATTGAAAGTATAGTAACAATTAAGTAATGAATCTACATTGACTGACACCGACTTCAAAGTAAAAATAATTGTACAAT